CTCCTCCTCCTCCTCCTCCTCCTCCTCCTCCTCCTCCAGCCATCTCGGCTGGGGCCATGCGGGCGGGCGCGCATCGCGGCCGCGGAGCCAGCTTGGACAGGCGTGCCTCGAGATGGCTCGTCGGTGCGGGCCAGAGGACGGGACGAGCGTGGCCACTGCCGGGCCACCGGCGGTGCTCCCTGCGGAGGGCGCCATCGTGGAGGTCCGCTCCTTCGTGCTGGGCGATCTTCTGGTGAAGGAGCTCGTTCCAGGCCTGCCCGGCGGGCGCGGAGAACTTCATCGGAGACCAGCTGGAGGTCGAGAGCTCGGGCAACCGTCGAGCCGCATGACCTGGAAAAGAGCAGAGGTCACGCTGGAGACGCTCTACGTGTCGCTGGAGGACGCTGCCGAGGTGGCGGTCTTCATGGCGTCGACGCTGAAGGGGCTCCACAAGGCGCTGGAGGGGATCGTTGGGAAAGCTGTCTTCAAGGCGACGTGGGCTGGAGAAGCTCCACGAGGCGCTGGAGGAGATTGTCAGGGAGGCGGTCTTCATGGCGACGACGCTGGAGAAGATCCACGAATTGCTGGGGGAAATCGTCGTGGGGGCGGTCTTCAACGGCGACGGCACTGGAGAAGCTGCAGGAGGCGCTGGAGGAGACTGAGACTGTCGTGGAGGCGGTCTTCGTGGCGGCGACGCTGGAAAGGCTCCATGTGGCGCTGGAGGTGATCGTCGTGGGGGCGGTCCTCGTGGCGATGACGCTGGAGAAGTTCCAGGGGCTGGCGAAGCTCCACGAGGCGCTGGAGGAGACTGTCAAGGTGGCGGTCTTCATGGCGTCGACGCTGAAGGGGCTCCACAAGGCGCTGGAGGGGATCGTTGGGAAAGCTGTCTTCAAGGCGACGTGGGCTGGAGAAGCTCCACGAGGCGCTGGAGGAGATTGTCAGGGAGGCGGTCTTCATGGCGACGACGCTGGAGAAGATCCACGAATTGCTGGGGAAAATCGTCGTGGGGGCGGTCTTCAACGGCGACGGCGCTGGAGAAGCTGCAGGAGGCGCTGGAGGAGACTGAGACTGTCGTGGAGGCGGTCTTCGTGGCGGCGACGCTGGAAAGGCTCCATGTGGCGCTGGAGGAGATCGTCGTGGGGGCGGTCTTCGTGGCGATGACGCTGGAGAAGTTCCAGGGGCTGGCGAAGCTCCACGAGGCGCTGGAGGAGACTGTCAAGGGGGCGGTCTTCATGGCGACGACGCTGGAGCTCCACGAGGCGCTGGAGAAGATCCACGTGGGGGCGGTCTTCATGGCGACGACGCCAGAGAAGCTGGAGGCGGTCTTCAACGGCGTCGGCGCTGGAGAGGCTCTGCGAGGCGCTGGACGGAGACTGTCGTGAAGGCGGTCTTCATATGGCGACGGCGCTGGAGGAGCGCCACGGAGCACCGGAGACGTGCGAGGCGCGGAGGCCACTCCTGTCGCGCGCCCCGCGTTCCCGTCTTCCCCAAGCTGGCCGGCAAGTCGTTCGGGGCCCCTGCCGTGGCGTCGGAGGCGCGGGTCGGGGGCGGCTCCGAGGCGCCGCCCCCTGGGGCTCAGGGGGTCCAGGAGCAGGTGGAGCTGCCGCCGGCGCTGCTCGAGGGCCTCGGCCAGCTGGCGCCGGCGAGCGGGCTCGGGGGGCACGGCTGGGACCTGGTCTTCGGGGCGTTGCGGGAGGCTGCCGTCGATGCGGATTGTCTAGAGACGCTCCAGGCTGCAGGGCCATCGGCGAAGCGATGGGGCTGTGGGGCCCCTTCGGCGTCGGGTACGGGTACTTGCCGGCGCTGAAGAAGCAGGTTCCAAGTCCTCCCCCTCCCCCTCCCCCTCCCCCTCCCCCTCCTCCTCCTCCTCCCCTCCTCCTCCTCCTCCTCCCCTCCTCCTCCTCCTCCTCCCCCTCCTCCGCCTCCTCCGCCGCCTCCTCCTCCTCCCATCCTCCACCTCTCCCCTCCTCCTCCTCCTCCTCCTCCTCCTGGGCAGGAGCAGTGCTGCTGCTGTGGGCTCGGCCCGAAGCTCTGGTTTCGGGGGCGGCCCGGGGGCTGCCCGCTTCGGGCCCGCAGGGTTCCCAGGGGCGGGCCTGGTGGCCGCGTTCGGTGGCCCGTTGGCTTTCCGTTCCCGCGGGGGTGGTGGAGCCTTGGCAACGGCCCTCCTGCCTGGGAGGGCCACTGCTGGGATGCACCTGTCGGGTGGAACCTTTGGGTTCCTCGTCGCAGCTCCCGCACTGCTTGTTGCTCACTGCTGCCGCGGCGGCGAGGCGCAGTGCTCGGACTGCGGCCGAAGCTTCATTGCCATTGCCATGGCCTCCCCCTCCTCCTCCTCCCCCTCTTCCTCCTCCTCCTCCTCGTCCTCCTCCTCCTCCTCCTCCTCCTCTTCCGCTTCCTCCTCCTCATCCTCCTCCTCTTCCTCCTCCTCCTCCGCGCGGCTGGGTTTCAGAAGCTGTTGGCAGCCGGTCAACATGTCAGGGAGCCCGTGGTCCCGGGCCCGGCGATTTGCCCCCTGGCTGGATCAGGCAGACTAGGGGGCTCCCCCTGTCACGAGTGGGGGGTGGCCCTTCCTGGTGGCTAGACGGGTGCCACCACAACAGGTGCCTCAAAACGACTAGGACCATCTGGGTACGAAAGCCCAGAGAGCTTCGTGTGCGTCGCACACACCTGCGGAGGAGTGCTCACACTTTTGTGATCGCCCTCCCCCAATAGACCTGCCAGGGGGGCTCTCCGGGCCCTCTTGAGGGCCGCGACAGGGTCCCTTGAGAGCCTTTTGTTGAGTCTTGGGGCCCCTCGTGAGGGCCTCGTGGGGCCTCTGGGAGGCGCTGCTGGGGGCCTCTTCGGGCCCCTAGCAGCCATGTCGGAGTCGTCTTGGGGGGCTCTTGTGCTCCAGGGAGTCTTTGGGGCATTTTACTCGACGTTTTGGTGGCCTCAATGGCCCTCCAGAGGTTCACTAAATGCGTGGCCATGGGACAACCGTCCGAGGTCGAAAAATGAGATAAACAGCATAGGGGTCTTCCATTACACACCCAACACTTGGAGGGGGAGCAACGAGGTGGACGTGTGTGTAGTCGTCCTTCTCCGATCGAGGTGCTCTCGCTTCCCCGACCACCACGAAATGACGAGCAGCCTAGGCCAACTAACGTCGCGCATCGCGCCCCGCGTCTCGCGGGAATCGCGAGCACCCTCGCGCCGTGCGCCCTCGGGCTGCCCCCATTGGAGAATGGCAACGGCTATGGCCCCTCTCGCGAATCGGGCGCAGCCTGGCCTGGTGGCTAGTATTGGACGGTTGAGCGAGGAGTTGTCCTCACCCTTCCCCTCCTCAGCACAGGATCACCTGTGCTGTCAAGCGAAAGGATGCAGCTGCAACGGATGAGGTAGAACGACTATGACCGTGCATGCACCCAAACTTGTGTAGCTCCGTGCGCACCGATCATACGCATCCAAATCAACGGCCAAATCCTCGTGGTCGTCTCCCTCCGGGCTCACACCTACACACGGTTGGGTCCTTCGCCACCTATGTTTGTTTGCGCGGCCCGATGCCTGGCTGGGCTCCAGAAGCTGTTGGCAAAAATTTGGCAAAAGGATCCCGCTGTCAGGGGGACCGTGATCCTGGGCTGGATCAGACAGATTTGTCTGGATCAGACAGCTTATAATAGTCAGCGAATTGCCGCCGGGCTGGATCGAATCAGACAGATTTCGAGGCTCCCCTTCCTCCTGGTGGCTAATAAGAAGGATGCCACCGCAACAGATGCCGTGAAACAGGAACGACTGGGACCGTCTGGGTGCCAAAGCTCATAGAGCTCCGTCACGAGTGGGGGTAGCCGGCCCTTCCCAATGGCTAGAAGGATGCCACCGCAACAGATGCCGGACCGTCTGGGTGCGAAAGCTCAGAGAGCTCCGTGTGCGTCGCACATGCCTGCGGAGGAGTGCTCACGTCTTGGTGATCGTCCTCCCCCAGTAGACCTGCCAGGGGGGCGGGGGGGGGAACCTCTAGACCTGCGGGGCCCCGCCACAGGTCCGGGCCCGTGAGAGGCCAGGCCAGCAAGGGGGGCAGGAGACCGAGCCAGGCAGGTCCGAATCCAGACCTGTCGGGGGCAGCAGGCCTGGACCTCTGCACCCGTGGAGCCCCAGGAGCCCGCGCGAAGCCAGACCGACGCGCGGGGCCGGAGAACGAGCCCGGCAGGTCTGGAGGGGGGCGGGTGTGGAGGGACTGCAGGTCCAGGTACCTAGACCTGCTGGGCCCCGCCAGACCCAGACCCCCTCGGGTAATGAAAAAATCATGACGGGAGGTTTTTCCTAATTTTCGGCCTCTGGAGGCCCTCACCGGCCCTCGGGAGCG